GAAAACCAGATAGAAATAAATGTTGACTGAATCACAACAACATAGTCGCAACCGTCCCTAAATTTAATGAAAAGTAAACATACGAAGCAGAATCTAAAAAGTTTATTAGTTATCAGAGTTGTTTCATGTTATCACTCATCCCTGCATTTTAAAATAATGCTTTTGGATATGATGAGCAGGCTATAAAAAAATTAAAAATCAATCGCTGGTTACACCTCATTTCTGCTTCCTCCCCACACACTCCCAATTCTAGTGTTATTGGTCCTTTCATCAGTCAGTCTGAGAAGATTAAGTATATCTCAGTTTTTAATATGACTAACAACATTTCTCCAAAACTCCTTCACAGCATAGACAATGAACTCTAAGGCACTAAAATTGTTGGAAAAGGCATGGTATGAAGTATGTTGCTAATAGATACTACTAGAAAAAAACCAAACAATAAATACTAAGTATTGTGCAACTGCCTCAAAGGCTGTTTGTAACCACCAGGAAGTTTACATTTTATCATTTATTAGTATAGCTTAAATAGGGAAAACAATGACTGACGCAGGCTGCAAATTCTAACAAGGAACACTGGTGATGACATACAGCTCATCACCAGAGCTTTAGAGATTAAATAATGCCACATTAACCTGGAAGGGTATGTGCTCTATTTATTGTACATGTAATAGAAATTAGCCTTAATGGAGTCACTGAAACTAGCAAGAAACACCAATGTACAGTAGGATGACTACAGCACTGCTAAAACCCAATTGGCATGTCCTTAGATATGCTGCTTTCTAGAGATCATATAATTGTCAAAAAGTGGGAAGAAATATCACCTAATAGGGGAAAAACAATAATCAAGAAAAACAACCCTCACTGACTCACTATAATATAAGCTGTAGTCCTTCAAGACAGTGACACAGGGACCGGGCAGCTTGGTGGCTCACCTGAACGTGAAAGCACGTGTTCATTTAGTAATCTTTCCCCTACCTACAAGCTGGCCTTAGAGTTCTTAGAGTGTTTCATTTGAGCAAACAAGAATAATAAAATTTAAACTAAGCTAAATCTGCTTCTATTCTAGTCAATTATATTTCCTATGAAATTTCAGATGATGTTTCAGTCAAAAATATCTTGAGCCATCTATGTATGTATCTATCTTCATACCTGAGAAAATGCATGATGACATAATAAAATTTCAATTTTGAAATTTGATGATTCCCTCACTTCTTAGGATTTATTTAACTTATTTGGCATATGTGAACAGGAACTACATCTGAATGAAACTGAAACAAATAATACCTCCAGATCTGGTTTGAAAGAAAAAGAGGAAAGTTTTTTAATGATGATTCTGTTACACAAGAATAGGGAAATTTTTTTTTACATTAGATGGCACACTAAGATCCCGACAAGTTGTTAACATTTTGCATCTTTCACATCGTCTTTTCCATGAGCATATTGACATGATTTTTAATGACTATTTTCTCATTAACTAAAGAACAACAGACCTGTATGTTTTCTACTCCCTGAAGAAGGGCTTCAGGTAAGCTTAATTAGCAACACCTAACCTTGCCAAAGTAAGAGCAATTTAACATTGACTTAAGAACTAATGTCGTAAGATTCTCCTACTACTATAACCTCAAAGCTGAAACTGGGGCAAAACAAACCTCCAAGAAAACTTTAAACAATCATGGTCAGTCTCATAGCATGGTGACATCTGCAAAGTTACATGACTGACAAGCAAAACTACACAGTACAAGTTCTGTATTTCCCCAGTCTTTTGAAGACATACAAATTAGAATTACTAACTAGATTCAATAGCAGAAAGTGCATGTTAATAGCAAGTATTTCTAAGCAACATATTGCTCCAGGAAGAAAGGTGACAGGAAAAGGCAATTTTAAACTCTGTGGCAATGGTTTAGAATAGCTAATTGTAACCTTTTTTTCTTCATTTTTAACAAGTACATTTTGTTAAGTTAGAAGCTGTTTAGCTGGTAATCAATCAACAGTGTCTGAAAACTAGGATACAGCGAAGAAGTGGGACTCCTGGAGAAGAGTGCTGTTCTGCAGAGTACTTTCTTTTCTCATGACACAGACTGCATGTTTTCTCTCATTTATTCCTCTCATATACATTTATCTCATTTTTGTACATTAAAATCCAAAGTTCTTTTATTCATTTTATAATCCCATTTATTTACAATATCCAAACGTAGAATCAGTGGATTAGTGAAGTGTTTCTCCTTAGTAATGCAGTAAGTCATAAAAAACAAATAATTCTTTCTGTACCTCTTCAGCTACCTCTAATTTCTGCCAGAACAGCACAGACAGGTCATGCAAGGCAACAGAAAGACTATCCACAACAGTGTAACAGCAGTACAGGCCTCCCTCAACTCCAGCGTTGTGAGAAGGCTTGGAGTGAACCAGCTGGTCCTCTTCTGAAAAGAAGAGAATCAGCAAGATGAGGCCAAGGCCAGAATACCCAAGAGATGTACTAAATCAGTGCAATTTCTGCAGCAACCTCCCACAGGCAGGACTCTAGAGCTTAAAATCTGTTTTCCTTGGCAAGCGCCACAGTGAATGAGTCTACAACCCCCAGAGGATTGCTATTACCCCTACCCTTCAAGTATTTTCACTGACACAGTTGCCATTTGAGGTGAAGGGAATAATTAAAAGAAGGCAAACCATAAGTGAATATAATTTACATGCAACGACTATGGATGTACAATCCAAGAAAAACATACTGAGTTCAAAATGCAAAACTAATGCCACTAGAGACATGTAACTTTTATACCTTCACTAGCACAGAAAACCTGTTCTGCCAGGAGGTGAGGTGAGCTGAGAGGAAGAAAGTACAGGCTAAGGACAAGTGTCATTTCAGTAGGGGATGCTTTCTTCTGTCAGGCAGGGAAAACAGGAGACACTATAAGAACATTGCAAATCCTGCCCTACAAATTTAAGTTCAAAGGGAAAACGGGTAAAAGATCAGGAGTGGTGAATCGCTCATCTCTTTTTCCTCATTCTTCTTCAAGCAACATCACCTAACGTATTCCTGGAAAGCAGACAGACAATCCAAGTGTACAGAGAACACAAAAATCTACAAAGTGTTATAGAATTTGGGGAATGTCAAGAAAAAAATAATTTGAACCTATTTCCCATGTCTCAATATAATCTATGCCCATATACATTTTTCCAATAAATACATGTCAGCATAGAAAACATTTCAGTTCTTGTAAGGAGATGCCAAACATGAATGCACAGTAATACAAAAAAAAAAAAAAAACCAACTCAAAAAAAAAACCAAAAAAAAACCCAAAAACAAATACCCAACCAACCAATCAAAACCCCAAACCCACTAAAAAAATCTCCAAACAACTAAGAAAACCCCAAGGAGATCAGGACTTTGCACAAGTGTCTGTACTAGGTCAAAGGAGTCATGGCAGTTCAGCATGTCTCAAAAAGCAGGCATCTGTGAAATTGTATGAGAAGAGGGCCAGTACAGAGCATTACTTGCCCAAAATACTGTTCCCTGTCTCTAATGATTTGCATCTCAGAAACTTTCCGAGTTAGAGACTACACATCAAAAAGCTACCTGAATCATCCATATATTAGCTTTAATTACTTTGCTATGTAAAAGCAGGCAATAGTTCTTATTTTTACATTTTGAGTATTTTCACACAAAAAAAGAAAAAAGAAAAATTATAAATTTGCTAGTCAGATTTCCTCCAAGATATCCAGAGCTTTATTGCATATAATCAGCCTTTGCTAAAAGGAGAGTGGTAAAGCCATTTGGTTAACTATCACAACAAATCATTATTAATAAAGTTCTGCTAAATCCAAACTTTAGATATCTTAACAACTCACCCAAAACTTTTTTCAAGTTCATTAACCTCTAGCATATTTTTTTCTCTAAATACAGGCTGTTAGAGTGGTACTTTCTTCCATCTGTTAAACAACCGTGCTCTGAATTACACAGAAATTTAGCTGAATAAAAAAATGATTCATTGAATTTAATAGTTTAGACAAGGCTCTATTTTATTTCCATTTACTCAATGGCAGAATTCTCACAAAGCCCAAAAAGTACAAGACTTGGATAAACACACAGACTTCTGTTAAGTGATAAAAATCTGAGCTTTTTTTTTCCCCCATGAAAAATTTAAACTAACTTAACTTTTTCTCTTAAGTACTGAGTGAAAGCTGCCAGATTTGTTTATGGATGTTCATTCTTGGGGGGAGCAGGGCAATGGAACAAAAAACGCACACATACAACCAAAAGCTTGCAAACAGTTGGACAATAGCATTTTCCAAGGTAAAATGAAAAAAGTTCTGCAGTTACCCAAACTCAAGTTGCAATGAATAATTGGCATGTCAATCTTCTGGAGTTTTCTAGAAATATGCAATGAATAGTGCAGCAAAAGACATTGGGATCTATACCCAAGGAGGGAATATGCTCAAGGGAGGTCTCTCATCACATAATGCATTGTACTGTATATTCACTGAGCAAGAGACTGAAACACACTCCTCACATACTTAAGCTTACCTCATACAGAAAAAATTATATATGTATATGTATATATTATATGTATTATATATTATGTATTATATATGTATATACATATTCCTGGTCATTTTGCTGAAGAAATTTCAGGTTATTAATCTGAAAACTCCTATGCTCAAAGGTGCTGCTCTACACTACAGTGTCAACATTTCAAATGTATTTGTCCTACTAAGCACAGCAACAGAAAATAAAAGGTAGCCTCCCTTGCTCTTCTTCCTGCCTAAAACCATGCCAGAGCTGAAGACTGCTTCTTCTACACACTACTAATTCACTTTTTTAAATTACTGTTCATAACTCACTTTGTAGTTCATAACTCACTTATTCAATTCTCCACTTCTAACACGACTGAGGGCTGCCTGTGTAGTCGAAGACTGCAAGTATCTACAACAACTGTGGGGAAGCCTGTGGCAAAAAATTAGCAGAATGAAATTGGTACTACAGCATGTAATAGGATAAGGGGTACCTGGTGAGGTGCAGTTGGTGCTCAGATTTACTCAGCAGTTCTGTCAGTTTTAGGCACTCCTCTCTGGCTCCTGTCACATCCTGCTGGGCTTGTTCCAAACGCTGTTTGTTTCCATCCAGCTCTAATCCCAGTTTTTCTATTTTCTTAGAAAATTATAGAACCAAATAAATAGGTAGAGATAAATTTTAGGACAAAAAAAAAGTGATCAAAGCACCTGAAAATAATGCACACTCCTGGTTTTGAACAAAAGTAGTAATTTGATATAAACTACAAAACAAGCAAATTAAAATATTTGAAATTACATTCTTGTGAATAGCCAAAATGTGTTTAATATTTAAATACTCTAATATACAATCAATGTTATTGTGTTCATGTGGTTTAAGAGTTACAGGCATTCAAGTATTTTCCATTTTTCTCATGTGAAGGCTCCATATTTGTGGCCTAAATTCACTGTGCTAGAGACAGAAAGGCAGTGGAACAGTGGCCATCTTCAGAAGCTGCTTGACATAGGATAGCTCTCATGATAATTATTTTTTTTTTAATGCCTATTACAAATCCAGTGACCAGGGGCCATTTAGCTTTGTCACCTAATACTACGCAGGAGAATAAAGGTAATTTTGTGATTTTACCATTTTACCAATACAAAAGAAGTATTTGTGACTTCTATCTGAACCCTAAACATACCAGCTTCTGTTAATCCTATTATTCTATTAATATCATTAGTCTTTATATGTCAACATAATAACTAAAGTTGATGAGTCTATTAACTTATTTTACAAATAACCACAGTCAAGTTTGCATGACCAGCATCTTCAGTTCCAGTGACACATACTAGACTTATATTATCCCAACCACATTGTCAGAAATTTAAATATTTTTCATAGAAATTCTCAGAAACAAATATTTTTCTTCAAGTCCATATAAGCATACAAGTACCTGTAGGAATATATCTGTAAAATAATACTATATTTTGTCCTAAGGATGCTTTTAAGAAGGCCAGTAGAATACAGAATAAGCTGACAATGTAGTTTTATCACATAGTAACTGTTCTGCACTAACTCCCTACATATTTATTTGTCATTGGGGCTGGGGGAAACTTGCACATTTTTCAGTCAACTAAACTCTGAAAGGTCATTTGTAGTACAGAATAAAATTGTTCATATAAGGAGTTAGTGCTGAATAGTGATTATACTTTAAACTCATACCATAGCTTCCTCGTGTAAACAAGACACAGTATCTTCTTCAATTAATAAAACTATTCATTCAAATATCCTACAAGAACAAATGAATATAACCCCATCCCAATACAAACATTTGAAGCACTTCCATATAACAATATTGTCTCTTTTCCGCCCATAAAAGTGTTAACCTAAACTACTTATAGTAAGTTGTGATGTCAGACAAATGCCATCACTTCATCCAGAAAAACGACACCATTTCAATACTGTTGGAGTTTTAAAAAATTTGCCATTTACTTAATTGTACAATTTTTTTCCCCCCAAAGAGCACTCAATAAAGGTTCATGAAGGAAATTTTGATTAGAATTTAAATGTCACCTTGCTTTATCACATGCACCTCCTACCAAATTATATTGGGAATTCCAAGCTCAAATGCAAAGATAGTTTTACTATCTACAAAATCGTTAATACTCTTCCCTTCTAAAGAATATAACAACCTATTACACTGACAGAATATTTTAAAACCAGGTGCTCAAAGATATTCGGTTACAAATGCTTTACATTTTCACTTTGCAGACTTTTGTGTATTTTAAATAGAAGTCTCAGTGGCTTCTCTATTCTTCTTAACAGTAGAAGTTCATAAGTGTTATTTCTCCATTCATAGTCAATAGGGACATGAACTTGTCACTGTCTTCATAAGTTAGATATCGAAGTTCTGCAACATTCCTAAAATCTGCTTTAAAAGTACATCCATTCAGTACACCTTTCAACAAACCCAAACCACAAATTAGTCCAAAAACATCAGCTAAGTACTTTAAAAATACCACAACCACAGCTGAGAATATAAATACACTCTAGATCGCTCCTTCAGGGAAAAGTTTCAAGGAACAGATGGGCTTTACACCATTGCCTCGAGTTAAACAGGCTCAGTCAGGTTTTGACACAGACCCACAGAAGGAAGCAAATTCCAAGTGCAAGAACCTCTGGTGAAAATGTTTCGTTTCCATCAGCCAGATGTTGAACCTTCAGGGCTGAACCCAAGAACACATGCATAGATTTTAGTTGTCATGAAAGTGCAGGGGGAAATTCTCAGATAGGGAAGTGTCACTTCATGACAGGATCTTTAAACATTTACAGGTGTCTTATAATTTCTATTAGAAGCATCAAGAAAACAAGAATATGGCTTGAAGAACAATTTTACTTGTACTACTTTCATTGGTAATTCCAAAATCCACAAAATCAGATCCTTTACACTCATGCACATTGCATGTGTGTAAGTATATACAGACATATATAAACATCTTAAAATACCAGTGTTTGGAGGTGCTTGCAGCATGACTTATAGTCTAAAATTCTGGTAATGACCACGGCAGAAACAGCAGACAACCTCGTGAGAAAGGGATGGCAGAAAAATGCCACTAAATAAAACTTGTTAACAGCAACTCAGAAACAGCCAATCCAGGCACATTTAGGCTTATCAACTAAACTATTCTTTTTGAAACACCAAAAAATATTCATTCAAAATAATTTAGTAGGAGCCACACACCACACCACATTTACAGGCTGAAAACAGAGCATACTCTCAACACTAAGGGATACTTCAGTTTAAAAACTCAGGTAATAGCTTGAAACATGAACCCTCAGAATCTGAGACATGTTAATATAATTTAAAAAAACCTCTTCTCTCTCCTGTTAACAATAATAGTCTCACAAATACACTCTGTCCTGAATTCTGAAATATGTCTAGTCCATCATTAGGTCATCACAATGTAATTGGGATTTAATCTACAGAAAAATTACAGAAGCAATGAATATTCTTCACTGGTCCTGCAGGAACTTAGCAGCAGCATTTTTCCCAACTTTTACTCAGAGTAATTTTTGTATTACTTCAGTTACCATTTCTTCTATCAGGAAGCTGTAAGTAGTTCTGTAGCTGCTATCCAGACCACAGTGTAATTGTAGGGAAAGAAACAGAAACAAACCAACTAAAGCATTTTGCTGACAGCTCTGTTTCTCATGCAGTGTTAATTTGATCCCTCAGTGCCTATCACCTGTGATGCAGCTTTTTACCACATGATCAGAAAGTTATTTCTTCAAGGTACTTAACTTTTCAATGTATGTGAGAGACAAGAGATGGAGCACAGAACTGCAAAAAGACAGATGACAATCTTGCATTGAAGAAAATCTGAAACAGATTTTCAGTATAACAAGGAACAGAATTATCATAATGTATACGTACAACAAGACTACATTAAGGTTAGAACAGGCAACTTCTGGTGCTTAACTCTGCAACTTTAATGTTCTTATTACTTCTGCACATAATTTCAAAAGTACTATTTAATATGTCTTCTTCTGCAGTTGCCCAAACTCCCAGGAATATCAACAGGCACTTTGCCATGGAAAGATGGCAGGCTAAACCTCAGTAAGAGAAGCGCCATTATTAGTAAGGTGAAACACACTAACACCATCCTGCATCCATATTCAGCTCAGTTACACGAAAGAAATTTTACTTAAACAAAAATGAAGCATGGGTGAAGTACCACAACAATAAAATTTTATTCTAAATCAATTATTCTTTTTTCAGTATTACCACCAACTGCCTTTTATATTTTAAGTTTTCCACTTTCGAGCACATAGGACCCATTTGTATCTTTTCTTGAAGCACCTAAGTGGTTCACTTCTCATTCATTAGTTTGTGTGCATTTAAAAATTATCTTCACATTTTTACAATGCATTTCTAGGGGAACACAATAGAGATGCTCATCAGTGACATAAATGCAAGTTGCTGGAAAACATAAGAGATGATTTCTCAAACACTGAATCAATCCTCAAATATCTTTTTCATAACCTGACATTATCTTCACCTAACAATACTTATGCATGATGCAAAAATGTGCTTTTTAATTAACTAGACATCTCTATCGCTGTAAAATCTGATTAAATAAAATAATTTCATTCAAAACAAGTCAAATTAAAGATTAAAATAATTATTTCTTTTCATACAATTGCTGATTCTATTGTATGCAAAAATTACAACTTTAAATTTCAAACTAGCAGATGTTTTCCACAGAATTTTACATAAAAGCAAACTGACAGAAAAGACAAATACTTTTCTTTAACAAATGAGAATGATTAAGTGGTGATAAAAAAACTTGCACTCTGAAGAAACTGCAAAAACCTCCCCAACTTTAGAAGACTTTTAACAAAATGAAAAATTAACTAAAACCAAATTAATTCCTTAGTGATTTATGACATTCACTCTTGTCCCAGTATGTTCACATATCAGGTAAAAAAATACACAGGATAACCTAGAAAGGAAATTCTGAACTGACTATATCATTGCCCAAATTCTGCAGTAAAATAATTCTGGAGAGTAAAATATTAACGTGAATTTACACTACATTTTTTTTTGTTTCGTACTTCATTTGCCACCCTTACTAAAAGACTGAAGGGGCATAAAATAAAACCAAAAATAGGAGAAAAAATATAGAGTAATAAAAAAGAAAGATAATCACTGTGGTGGTTTTGAATGTACGTCCCCAAAAAGCAATCAAACATCTATAAAAACATACACACTTCAAATGAAGAGACTTTTACAGGCCATGAAGCTTAGCCTCATTTACTAAAGTAGCCTTCAAAGCAGAGGGACCAGTGATAATGCTCAGGACCCAAGTCTTCCAAAGAGGTGTCCCCAGTATGGCCTCACACATACATTCAAATACTTTGTGTACCATTGACAGGAAATTTTTGCACTCTTTCACACTGATCTCAATCCATGTTGCATTCCATACCTAATAATATACTAATTCATCAGGGACAGAACAAACTGGATTTGCTTTTTTCTTTTTTTATTTATTAAAAAAAAACCAACTCAACAAGACAAGACTCGTTTTGTAGAAAGATTTCAAGTGTTTTTCTTGGATTACTATCAGGCCATATGCAGCAGGGGTCATTTGCAGTCATTT